TATGTATGTATATATGTACATATATATATATATATATATATATATATATGCTCTAATTGATACAATAAATATAGATAGTATGTACACACACTATACTATCTATATTTATTGTTTATATCATCAGAATAAAAACTATTATTAATATATTATATTCTATAATATAATATATTTTAATATATTATATTTATATACAATAGCTTACGAATTTAATTCTATAAGAGCCCGCATCATCTAAGTTGTCTTCTAACTGAATACTTTTTAATAAATTTAAAACCTCTCTGTCTGCTGAAGACATAAAAGAAAGTAAATGATGATTGCAGATAGCAGCAGCCCAGAAGCCGGGTATTTTATCAAGAACAGTCTGTCTCTTCTCAAGAAGAGGTTTTTTGTTTTTATCATATTCTTTCTGAATAAGCATTTGTTTTTTAGCGCATTCTTCATCAAAATCTTGTAAAGAACGTTGAATATCTTCTAACTCCTCCATGAAGGGTCTAAGGAGCTCCTCAGGTCCTCCTGCTTCATTGCTGCTGCTGCTGCTGCTGCTGTTGCTGCTGCTGCTGCTTCGTGCTGCTGCTGCTGATGCAGATCCACCTTCCAGCTTACGCTGCTTCGGCTCCTCCGTCTCCTCCTCTGCTGCTGCTGCTGCTGCTCTATCGCGCTTTGTCATGGTTTGTTTTTTTCTCTTAAAAGTAATCGATGAAGAGGGGGGGAGAAGGAGAGAAGAAAGCAAAAAAGAAGCAAAAGAATAAACAAATACAACAAAAAAGAAGGTAAAATAAACGAATATAAATATATAAACAAAAAGAAATGAAAACCAACAACAAATGCAGAATATATACACAAAATAATATACAATAATAACAGACAAACAACAGCTGCAGTGTATGCGCAGACACCCCAACAACAAAACCACCTTCGTGCTGCACAGCTTCAATACGAAGCAAATGAATATAACTTCTTCTTATATTCTTCTTCAGTAGCCTTCCTTACCCCTCACATATCGCGATACCAGCAGTAACAAGCCCCAAACCAACACAGAATCCTTATCTTAGAGCTGCTGCTGCTGCTGCTGCTGCTGCTGCTGCTACTGCAGCAGCAGCAGCAGCAGCTTGTATCTCCCCACAAGAGGCAACCGATGCTGTTCTTCGCTGCTTTCTTTTTCCTTCGAGAGCAGTTTTATTATATAATATATATATTTTAATTAATTAATTAATTAATATATATATATTATATAATTATATTTCTATTCTTTTATTGTACATACACTGAAAAGGGCCCCCTAAGCCCACCCCTCAACCCCCCCAGGCGCCTCTACGCTAATTAATTGTTTGACTCGTCTCTGTCTCTAATTTTAAAAAATATTTTTTTGTTTGTTTGTTGTCTATACAACAAACGAGCTAAAAAAATAATTAAATTAAAATATCCTCGCTGCGGGCTTCACCCTTGGGGTGTACGCACAGCATACACCTAATACACATATACATATACATATATTTAATAGAAAGCCCAATTAATTATGAAAGTAAAACAAAAATAAACACATATTCAAACCCTCTTCTATTCCTCTCCTCAATATAAAAACAACAAACACCCACTGCCTTCGGGGCCCCTCATTGGGCCCCTTAGAAACGCCTTTGTCTAGGGGGGCCCCTCTTGAGGCCCCCTCTGAACCTTCAGGGTGTCCCCCTGGGGCCCCCAATTAACCCTGATGACTAGGGGGGCCCCCCGTGGGGCCCTCTCTCAACCCTGATGCCTACGGGGGGCCCTCCTGGGGGCCCCCCTGGGGGCCCTCCTGGGGCCTCCAATGAGCCCTGCTACCCTTGGGGCCCCTCTTGGAGCCCTCGTCAAACCCCTAGTACCCACGGGAGCCCTCTGGAGGCCCCGTAATACCCTACTGCCTATGGGGCCCCTCACGGGGGCCCCTCTAAACTATACTGCCTTTGGGGCCCCTTTTAGGGCCCCTATTTAAGACACCTACCGGGGCCCCTTTGGGGGCCCCCCCGAATGTACTGCCTCTGGGGGGGCCCTTTCTTGAAACCCCTTCTAATCCTTGTTGCTTACGGAGGCCCTCCTGGGGCCCCCAATTAATCCTGCTGCATTTCGAGCCCTTCTTTGGGGCCCCTTCTGAACTTTCGAACCCTTCGGGCCCCTCCTGGGGCCCCCAATAAACCCTGCTGCATTTGAAGCCCCTCTAGGGGGCCCCCCTGGGGCCTTCTATGAACTCTGGTGCCCTTGGGGCCCCCTTTGAACCCTGCTGCATTTGGGGCCCCTCCTGGGGCCCCCTCATTAATCCTGTAGCCTCAGGGGGCCCCCCCTGCTGCCCCCTTTGAACTCTGCTACATTTGGGGCCCCTCCCTGGGGCCCCGAATGAACACTGCTGCATTTAGGGCCCCTTCAGGACCCCCTTCTGAACCCTCTTGTTTATTGGGGGCCCCTCCTGGGGCCCCCAATAAACACTGCTGCCTAAGGGGGCCCCTCCTGAGGCCCCCGTCTGAACCCTGTTGCATAAGGGGGCCCCCCTAGGACCCCCTTTGAACCCTGCTGCATTTGGGGCCCCTTGTGGGGCCTCCTTTAAACTCTGCTGCCTAAGGGGGCCCCCCCGGTGGCCCCCTCTGAACCCTGTTACATATGAGGGCCCCTCCTGGCGCACCCTTTGAACCCTGCTGCCTATGGGGGCCCCTCCGGGGGCCCCCTTCTGACTGCTGTTAACTTTGAGGCCTTTAATGAAGCCTGTCTTTGGGGTGTATAGGGAGCCTTGCGCGATAAAAGAAGAAAATGTTTGTTTGCTTGTGTGTGGGGCTTGCATGCAGCTTGTTTTTAGGGTTTAGGGTTTATTTTTTAGGGTTTGTTTGTTTTATAGTGTTGTTAATGGTGGTGGCGGTGTTAATATAAGGAGACAAATATTTATTTATTTATTTATTTTTTATTTACTTAATTATTTTTTTTTTATTTACTTAATTATTTTTTTGTTTAGTGCTTTGTTTGCTGATGCTTGTACATAAAATTATGTTTTTAATGTTTATAGATGTGTTTGTGTGTGTTGTGTGCTGTCTATATACATATATATATATATATATATAGCTGCCTTTTTTCTATCTCCCTCTCTCTGTCTCTGTCTCTGTCTCTGTCTCTCTTTGTCTTTGTCTCTGTCTCTCTTTGTCTTTGTCTCTGTCTCTCTTTGTCTTTGTCTCTGTCTCTGTCTGTGTGCTGATTGTTTGCTGTATTTCTTTTAACAGTTTTTGTCTGCATGCGGTAGTTGATGTGTTGTCTTGGTGTTTGTTTGCAATATAATATAAATAAAATATATTATAATTTATAATATTATATATAGACATATAATATATAATATATATAATAATATAATGTATATATAGTAATACAACATATAATATATGTTCAATATATATGTGATTATGCATACATATAATATAATATAAACTATATATATAGTAATATAATATATAGTATATATAATAATAGAGTATATATTATATATAATATAAATATATATATATGTACATATATAATATATAGTATATGCAGTAAAATAATATATAATTATATAAAAATAATATGAAGAAGAGAAAGCAAACAAAGACCAGAGAGCAGCCTTTACGATTTATTATCAGTCGGGTTATTATTTTTATGTTTTGTTTGTTTATTAGGATGTGTATATGTCTTAAGAAGCCGAGGAGAAGGATAAGGCTTTGAAGAGAAGCAGCCTCGCCTATCTACGGGTCTCCATTTGTTATCATATCTTCTTGTAGGGGCGACACAGACAGCAGCAACAAATAGTTTACCCTTTGCTTCTCTTAATAGCTGCAGCGCAATATCAGGGTCATAGTCTACTGCATGCAGCAGCTGCAGCGCGAAATCTGGAGAAAATGGGGGTAAAACAGCAGCAGCAGCAGCAGCAGCAGCAGCAGCAGAATCACTTCCATATATAGATCTTGATACGGGCCCCTCACCCTCAGCAGCAACACAAACACCTGACGATCCCCATGCTGCTGCTGCATGCTGCAGATAAAGAGACAGGTCTAGATTAGCACCAGATAAATAGCTTCCTGCTGCAGAGACACCTCGAGCAGCAGCTTCTCCCTCTGCTGCTCCTGCTGCTGCTGCTGCTTCTGTTGCTGGTGTTGCTGCTGTTTCTGCTGTTTCTGCTGTTGCTGCAGGCACTGTAGAAACATTTCCAGGTGCAGTTTGTGTTGCAGGTGCTGCTGCTGCTGCTGCTGCTTCTTCTTCTGCTGCTGCTGCTGCACGAGCAGCAGCAACACGAAGCAAAGCCCTAGCTGAATAAACTAAACGGGGGCCCAGGGGCCCCTCATCATCGGGGGCCTCTAAAGAAGCAAAGCGTCTCTCTTCGTTGTCTTCAGATAAAAAGAAAGAAGGTAGGCGAGGCACCTGATACTTAGGGCCTACATTTATCCTGCATACACTGCTGCTGCTGCTGCTGCTGCTTCCTGCTGCTGCTGCAGTTGTGGGGTCTCTTCGCCTGCGGGGGGAATACGAACTGGGAGACGGGGATCGGGATCGGATCCCGCGTGCGCGCGGCAGCAGCAACGAAGGTGTTGCTGCTGCACCAGAGGGGCCCCGACGTGAAGCAGCAGAAGAGCTGTACTTTAAGAATGAAGATACACACTTCTGCCCTACTGTTGCTGTTGCTGCTGCTGCTGCTGCTTCCGCTGCTGCTGCTGCTGCTGGGGCAGATGCTGCTGGGGAGGGGGTTCTTGATGGTGCTGCTTCTGCTGCTTCTTCTGCTGCAGGAGATGCTGCTGTTGCTGCAGATGCGGCACCAAACGATGACTTAAACCCAGATGCTGTGGGAGCTGCTGCTGCTGCTGCTGCTGCTGCTTCTGCTGCTGCTGCTGCTTCTGCTTCTGCTTCTGCTGCTGCTGCTGCTCGTGCTGCTGCTGCTTCTGCTGCTTCTGCTGCTTCTGCTGCTGTGCTGTCAATTAACGGAACTGCCAATTCCGACAGTGTTGCTGCTGCTGCTAGATCTTCCGCTGCTGCACTTGCTGCTGCTGCTGCATTTGCTGCTGCTGCTGCATTTGCTGCTGCTGTATTGGCTGCTGCTGCTGGAGTTAGCTGTTGCCGATAGGGCCCTGAAGGCGCCTCCGTGCCCTCTACCATCCGCGTCATCTTCGCTTGAGTTAAGCTGACCAGGGTTTAGGGTTTAGGGTTTAGGGTTTAGGGTTAAGGGTTTAGGGTTTACGTACACCTCAACACTGAAGCCAGGCGCAAGCAATGGGGGCCCCTGCTTTGCGGCTGCAGCAGCAGTAAGAAAAAGATAATGAGTTATATATATATTAAATACACTAAAATAATAATAAAAGAAGAGAATATAAATAAATAAATTAATTAATTAATTAATTTATTTATTTATTTATTTTTATCTTCGTTTTATACTCAAAATAAAAAATTCAGCGATATTCCGCCGCCAAGCACAACAGGAGGAGAGCGCAAGGGTTTTGTTTATATTAATATTATTTTATTAATATTAATATTTATTTTATTATTAATATTATATTAATTATAATAATAATTATTATTATTGTTATTGCTGTTGTTGCTGCTGTTTGCTATTAAATGTTATACATACGTATTGCTAGCAATAGCCCTCTCCTTCATATATTTATTATATTATTTATTATTTTTAGCGTTTGTTTGTTTATGTGTTTATATTTATTTATTTGTTTGTTTTTGTGTATTTGTTTCTGCTGCTTTATTTATTTATTTATTTATTTTTACTTCTCATCGCTTCTTTCTGTCTTTTACTTGTTTTTGTTTATTTCTTTGCTTTTGTTTGTTTGCTCTTCTTTCTTTACTTCTGCTTTTTCTTTTGTTTGCTTCCACCCTCCAAATGAGGACGAGGCTATAATCTTAATGCAGCAGCTGCAGCAGCAACAACTGCAGCAGCAGCAACTGCAGCAGCAGCAACTGCTGCAGAGAGACAACAGAGAGAGGCAGTCTCCTTTCTCTGCTTTTTTATGCTTATGACACATGAAGAGACAAAAAGAAGAGACAGCTATTGCTGCTAAGAGGAGACAGTTGCACCCCACATAGATAGCTAGCTAGCTAGCTATCTGGCTAGCTAGCTAGCTAGATCGAGGTTGTCAGTTACAGCTAACCGCACTGAGGTGCCGCTAGCTGTAGTTAAGTTTATAGCTAGCCGTATCTAGCTGTAGTTTGATGCAGCTAGCTGCAGCTAGCTGCAGCCTCTAGCAGCTAGCTGTAACCCTTTGCAGCTAGCTGACTCCTGCTGCTGCTAGCTAGCCGCAGCAAAGAGCACACGAAATTAATTAGCTAGCTAGCTAGCTAGCTAGCTAATTAATTAATTAATTATTTTATTATTGCCGGTGCTTGTAGAAAGAAGAGTCTTTGAGGTGTCTGTCTCCTTCTTCTTTTTCTGTCTCCTCCCTATCGATTAATTACTTGACAAATTATTTATTTATTTATTTATTTATTTATTTATTTATTTATTTATTTATTTATTTATTTATTCGCTGTTGCTAGTAGAAGAGTCTTCGAGGTGTCTGTCTCCTTCTTCGCTTTCTGTCTCCTCTTCACCGTTCCACGAGGCCTCAGCACAGCCGCAGCGGCAGCCAACAACATTACTTAAATATTCTTGTAAACCTGTTCTTATATATCTGCTGCTGCTGTTGCTG